TTGCCTGGTAGACTGAAAAGACTAAGGAATTTGAGGTTAATGCTCTGCAAGTGGAGATACTACTGAAATTGGCAGTAAAGCAGGAGACTGTAAATAGTAGGATGGCTGGATGGCTGTTGGGTTTGTTTGTTTTCAGAGATGGGGTCTCACTATGTTGCTCAGGCTGGATTTGAATTCCTGCATTCAAATGATCCTCTCGCCCACCCCGGTCTTCCAAAGACCGAGTAGCTGGGACTACCAGCTGTACACTATCACACCTGGCTTGTTTGTTTTCAGTTTGGAGAAGGAACAGTTAGAACAAAGGGTCCTAAATGCCACCCTTCAAAATCAAGTCCCTTTCAGGATACCTGAGGATTGTTCTCTGAAGAAGCTTAACCAGACTCTGAACTGAGAGATATGAGGCTCAGAGGACAAGGGTGAGCAACAATGACAAAAAAGAAAAGAGGTTAAACATTTGAGTCTCCGGACTTTAAAACCCAGTGAGCATCCAAAATAATAAATGAAAAAAAGATCTACATCAAATTTAATCATTGTGAAACTTCAGAACATCATGATAAAGATGCCAAAGGGTTCCAGAGAGGAAAAAAATGGATCATATCAAAAGGATTAGGAATAAGAATGACCTTGCATTTTTAAGAAAAATATTAAAAACTAAAAGATGGGAAAATAATGTCTTAAGATTTTTAATAAAAATTATTTTCAACCTAAAAGGTTACATCTAGCCAAACTATCAATCGAGTAAGTATAAGGGTATCAAAAATATTTTTCAGGCACACACACAGTCTCCCATAAATGCTTTCTCAGGAAGCCACTAGAGGATATGTTTTCCTAAATGAGGAATTAAACTAAGAAAGAGGAAGAATGGGAGCCAGGAAACAGGAGAGAGGTAAAGGGAATTCCCAGAATGACAGCAGGGGAAGTGCCAGGACCACAGCTGTGTAGCAGGCCTAGAAACTACCAGCCCAGGCTGGAGGAAGGGGGTCAAGGTTCTAAGGGTGTTTGTATGTGGGGATAATATCTCCAAAAAATACTAGAATATATAAATTATTTGACACATTTGACCTTTGGAAATATTGTATAGAGAGATTTATAGGTCTCTTATGTTGTTTGGGAAGACAGAGTATTCTCAATTCTAGGCAAATGAAAAGAAAAGGAAATTATCAACTCCAGGAAAAACAGAAAGTTGCATATGAATAGAACTATAATCACAATGCTTTACCTAGTTTAATAGTAAACATTATTTCAATAAAGACAATATAGGATATGAATTAAACATTGAAATGTAATTTTATGGGGAAAATGAAGAGAGGAGAAAAAAGGGAGTGTAAATAATGAAAATCTTCATCTACCATTATGAGAAGACAAAAATAATGTCAAAAATTGGTGAGTTGACAGATAGCAATCAAGGCATTTTATTTACAAATGATAAAGTAAATCCTGAAAAAAAAAACTACAACAGTTTTATGTTATTACCTCTAGAAAGCATCACAAGGTTGGAGGAAGGTGGAGGAACAAGGAGTTTTTGTTTCTTAGGATGAGCTTTTAAGCATCATTTGAATTTTCAAATTATTTTCCTGTGATATTTGCATGAACATTTAAATGTATTTTCAAAAAATAAATGTATTCTTTACAAAAATTCAAAGCCTTAGATGTGTACTTTGTGTTCTCTTAAAGTTGATTTTATGATAAAACATTGAGCTCTATTAATTTGCTGTCTTTATTAACCTATCCCAGTTTTTTGGGCCCCTATCAGGCCACAGATAAATTCTTGGGTGTCACAGTTTTGCGTGCTTGTATTCATTTCAGTTATAATTGAAAATGCATATGCCTGTTTTGGATCTGGGTAGCTACTGTGTAAGTGTCATTTTGATACCTCCACTATCATGTGTGTATCTATTCAAGTTAAGGCCAATTAGCACTACTTTAATAATTGCAGGAGAATGAGAAAGAATAGGGCTTTCATCCATTCAGGCTGCTAAAACAAAATACCATAAACTGAGTGACTAATAAACAATGGAATTTTTTTTTTTTTTTTTTTTTTTTGAGACAAGTCTTGCTCTTGACTTGTCTCAAAAGCCCAGGCTGGAGTGTAGTGGCACAATCTTGGCTCATTGCAACCTCTGTCTCCTGGGTTCAAATGATTCTCCTGCCCCGGCCTCATGAGTAGCTGGGATTACAAGCATGCGCCACCACACCCAGCTAATTTTTGTGTTTTTAGTAGAGGTGGGGTTTCACCATGATGGCCAGGCTGGTCTTGAACTCCTGACCTCAAGTGATCCACCTGCCTTGGCCTCCCAACCTGCTGGGATTACAGCCGTGAGCCACCGTGCCAGGCCAACAATGGAAATTTATTTCTCATAGTTCTGTAGGCTGGAAAGTCTAAGATCAAGGTGCAGGCAAATTCAGTGTCTGGTGACTTCCTCGTACAAGGTCATCTTCTCACTGAAGCCTCACATGGCAGAGGGGTAAGGGGTTTCTCAGACCTCTTTTATAAGAACACTAATCACATTCATAAAAGCTCTACCCTCATAATCTAATCATTTCCCAAAGCCCCTACCTCCTCATACCATCACTTGGGGTTTATGATTTCAACATGTGAATTTTGGAGGGACACAAACATTCAGACCATAGCAAGCAATAAATGATGCAGCAGTATCAAATGAGCCCCGTGAAATCATAGCAGGCCATATGAATAAAAACTATGTAATAATTTGAATGAATCAAGTGTTGAGGAAATTCCCAAACCACATGGTAAAAGAGTACCAGAAACTCAAAAAACCCAGCAGTCAATATAATATTCATGTTGCAAGTAGCAATTTAAGTTCAGCAAAACAATATCTGTCACATAAAAGTAGTGTTATTAATTTGAGTCACATTTATTGATTTTGTAGGCTTGAAAAGATATACATTTTAAAATTCATATAACTACTGTAAGCATAAGGAGTTTATCCCATTTTCATTTTAGTATATGTAGGTTCAAATAATATAATCCTTCAAATAATTTCCACATTATTTAAGTTATTCTGTTAAGTGAATCTATACATTATTTAAATTTGAAAAACACTGACTTGTTTATATTTACTAAGAGATCTGATCAGGTCAGTTTGCTGCAATCCAGGATGGAGTGCCACCCAATTTGTGACACTCACCAAGTATTCATTAATTTAGAAGAAAGTACTTTACTCTTTCATCAATTTTAATTCACCAACTTAATTATCAAATAATATAGTGAACAGCTTAATTGTCTTCAACACTGGAATTTCTTTATCCTGACTTCTACTTGTTGGGTGCACTCATCTATATATAACTTATGCCTCCCCTAAACTCAGAGAATAAGTAGGACAAAAGTGGGGTTGGGATGTTTTCATTTCCTTTTGTTGCCATAACATCTTATCACAAATTTAGCAGCTTAAAAACAACATAAGTTTGCTATTTTGTATTTCTGGAAATCAGAAATCCAGAATGAATTTCTTTGGGCTAAAATCAATGTCACAGGATTGCATCCCTCCGGAGGCTCTAGAGTAGAATCTGTTTCCTTGCCTTTCCCAGCTTCTAGAAGCTTCCTGACCTATGCTGAGGTCATCAACTCTCCTTTACTGCCTCCAATCCTACTGCCTTCCTCCCTCATTTATAAAGACCCTTATGAGACTGAGTGCAATGGCTCACGTTCGTAATCCCAGCACTTTGGGAGGCCGAGGCGGGCGGATCATGAGGTCAGGAGTTCGAGACCAGCCTAGCCAACACAGCGAAACCCCCATCTCTACTAAAAATACAAAAAATTAGCTGGGTGTGGTGGCGGGCACCTGTAATCCCAGCTACTCAGGAGGCTGAGGCAGGAGAATCACTTGAACCCAGGAGGTGGAGGTTGCAGTGAGCTGAGATTGCACCACTGCACTCCAGCCTGAGTGGCAGAGCGAGACTCCATCTCAAAAAATAAATAAATAAATACCCTTATGATCACATTTAGCCCACCCAGATAGTTCAAGATAATCTCCCTACCTCAGGATTCTTAATCACATCTGCAAAGTCTCTTGTCATGTAAAGTAACATATTCACAGGTTCCAAGGAGTAGGACGTGGAAATGTTTTGGGTGGCATCATTCTGCCTACCACAAGGGATGCCACTATGTCCAGCCTGTCCCCAGAGCAGAAACTGATGGAGGAATCTGCTTTGGAAGTATAGGAACACAAGTTCCAGAAAGAAAAATAAAAAGGGAATGGACGTAAATTAATAGAGAGGCATTTTATGGTGAATCAGAAGGAGTTTATTTTTCTGAGGAGGATCAAGGAGCATGTTGAGGATTTACAAAGTGTGGGAAAGCCACCAACTAAGGAAGAAAAAGCAGACTGCTTCCCTGAGGGTTTGTCTGAGGTGGGAACAGTTACCTGGGAAAGACTGTGCTCCAAGGTCACACCAATTACCATGTGCATGAAGATTATACTCAGTTCAGCTCCAAAATCACCATCTACATGTTTATTTCAAACTCTGCAAACAAACCAATGACATCAGAATTAAAATAGTTCCACCACCTCCCTGTTCTTATGCCATTGTTTTTCTTTTTCCATGATTCCTATAACAAACCTGACACCAATTAAGCTAGCAGAAGAAGAAGAAAAAGAAGATGAATCATCCACCACACTGGAGATAAACCAAGAAGTAAGAAAAACTGATCTCTACCCAAAAGGATAACAATGGTGAAAGACTGCATTTGCAAAGGGGATGATATAGTCAGAGTTTAAATTTCCGAAAGGACAAACAAAACGTGGAGAGTCTGATGAGATCTTCCAGCTGCTTCTCTCTGCTAAGATATTTCCCGTGGCGACAGCTAGGGAAGCTTGGATGTATTTTCCCCTCGCTGTGTCATAAGATGTTCCTTTCCCTACCCCCACCTCCTCCAGACTGCTGCCTCCAGCAGTGCCTGTGGTGTGTGTGTGTGTGTGCGCGTGTGTGTATATGTGTGTGTGTGTGTATTGGGTTTCTCTCTCCCTTGTAAGAACACAGCCAGCCCGCCCTCTCCTGCTGTTGCTGCAGCTCTGACTTGCTTTTTCCTGCCTCTTTCCTCTCCTCTCTCTTCTTGCTTAGCTTCTTGCCTTCTGGTAAGTATGATAAACCCTCCCCCAAGCCCCGTGAGAAGATGTAGGGTGCGGTTTGTGGTGTTTGAAACTTGCAACTTTGAGATTGCCAGTGAACTCTTGGAGAACTTTTCATTGTATTTATAAATAAATATGTTGCTTAGGGAGGGATGTGTCTGTGATAGTCATCTGGAATAGCCAACACAAGTGAAAAGTTCTCTCCCTGGGGAGGGGAAAATAAGGCAATAAAGTTTATATAAGATAAAAGTTAGAAATAATTTCTTTGCCACATAATATAAAATGGATGATTGAAAAGTAACGAAGTTCTTTGACTTTGTTTTTTTCCCTCTTGTTAACTTGTCTTGAGACTACTTTTAGGAATTGAGTTGTCCTAGGCTTTATAATGACTGTTCTGTTTTAAAGTAAATGTGGAACAGGAGTTTAAAGAATAGCCATGGAATTAATAATTTAAAAAATCAATGATTGTGGCATCTGATAAAGAACAAATCGAATACAAACAGCCACTTGCATTTAGACTAACCAAAGTAAAACTCCTATGGACAGCTTATTTTAAATTAATTATTTTGAAGTTCATTTTACTTGAGATTTTATTTCATCCTAAGATAGTCTCCCCAACTTTAAAACCTACGTATGGATTTAAGCCAGTAAATGTTTACTGTTTTCAATTTGATTGAAAAATGATTCTCTTGATTTTTAAGGATGAAGTGCTAAATGGCATGACTCATTTTAGAATAGCTTAAAATAACTTTTGGCTGGACAGCAGGTGCCATGTGTCTTTCTCCGTGTTTAGGGGAGGCCTAAGTTATATATAGATGAGTGCAATCAACAAGTAGAGGTCAGGATAAAGAAATCCCAGTGATGAAGATAATGAAATTGTTTGCTACATTATTTGATAATTAAGTTGGTGAATTCAAATCAGTGAAAGAAAAAAAGTACTTCCTTTAAGTTATGAGTGTTTAGTGAGCATCACAAGTCAGTGGCAATGTCTGTGTGTTGAATTTTCTGTTCTTGTTGGTGTCCAAGCACTTGATTGACATCTACTGCCCTAAGAACAGGAAAAGGAAGCTGTGCAGTTGTAGAACAGTATGCTTTTGTTTTCACTTTCATGTTACCACAACAGCAAAACCTGCGAATTATGAGGATCTTGCCTTATTTTTATGCTGCTATTTAGCAGCATCACTGTGAAATATTATTTTAAAATAAAATGCACCATAACTTAAAGGCCTAAACCAAATCTATTGCAACCCTAGAAGTGGTAATAGTCAGAAACACTGGAATCTCTGACTCAGTTCCATCTCTCACCCTTTCCCAAGGGCCCTTATTATTGCTGAATTATTTCTCGAGTTGGTCTCCTCCTTGTTTATGAAACATTGCTACTTCTTAAAAATTATTGTTCTTCTAGAGCTTCCTGACTTAGAAGAGAAAGTTGTAATCTGTTTTTCTCTTTTAAAGTGTTGGTTTATATATTGGAATAAAAGAGTATTATAGAAACTTAAGGAATTGTTGTTATAAGCAGCATCATGCTTTTGTTTTGTTTTTGAGACAAAGTCTTGCTCTGTCGCTCAGGCTGGAGTTTAGTGGCGCAATCTTGGCTCACTACAACCTCCACCTCCCGGTTCAAGCAATTCTGATACCTCAGCCTCCCAAGTAGCTGGGACTATGGGTGCCCGCCACCATATCCAGCTAATTTTTGTATTTTTAGTAGAGACGGGGTTTCACCATGTTGGCCAGGCTGGTCTCTTGGCCTCAAGTGATTCACCCGCCTTGGCCTCCTAAAGTGCTGGGATAACAGATATGAGCCACCGCACCCGGCCTGTGTTTCTATACTACTTGGTTTATTTATTTATACCTTTCCTCATTCCCTGTCTTAATCGAAAAATGATGCCAGTTTGAGCCTCAAAAAAAGCATTCGTGTTGCTTATCTGAAAAAGAAAATGCCAGAAAAGTGAGAAATGTCTCCTGTATCCAGTGTAATAATGCATTTACATCAAAATATTCATACTAAGCAAAATACTGATTTATGGATCAAATAGAGCTTAGAGATGTTATTGTTATGAGTCATTTAAATAAATTTGATGACTCTTCTATTAAATATTTTAACTTTGAAAGAAAACTAATGCCATTTTAGATTTAAACATTTTAAATACACACAGTCATGTACCTCCAGTGATTGTTAATCTATATAGAACTATACAGGAAAATGATAACACAGACTGACTAGTGTAAGCAAAATGACAAATAAGGCCACAAAGAAACAATAGCATGAATTACTTTCTTAATGTGAGTAATAAGGAATACTGTTGAAAAGTGAAGAGCAAAACCAAAAATATGGCAGTAGTGTGACTTGATTTGGAAAAACAACTTTTCAGTGTTCCTACTTTAATAATTGTAACATCAATGGTTTGTGAAAGGACATTCACTGTATGTTAGAGACCATAATTAGTTGGCATTCACTTGGGGGATATCCTTACCATTGAAATGAAGCATTGATATGTAGCATCTAGGTTAGCTATGTAAAGCCTAATGTGCTTACCACTAGATACCAGTCCCAAGATGGAGGCTAATCACGCTGAACAGCTCTCAGCGGAACAACAGTCAACACCTCCAGGGGACAGTTCATCATTACCCCGTCACAATGGCCTGGAGAAGGAAGATGGTCAGGATTCTTCAACTCCAGTCCAGCCACTGGAGAAAGAGGCAGATGTGCACCCCGATATCTCTGAAGAGCTGAATCGACAGCTGGAAGACATCATTAACACTTACGGGTCTGCTGCCAGCACAGCAGGGAAAGAGGGCTCTGCCAGGGCTAGTGAGCAGCCTGAGAATGCAGAATCACCTGACAACGAGGATGGGGACTGTGAGGAAACAACTGAAGAGGCTGGAAGAGAACCTGTTGCTTCTGGAGAGCCACCCACTGTCAAAGAGCCTGTCAGCAATAAAGAGCAAAAATTGGAAAAGAAAATCCTAAAAGGATTAGGCAAGTAGTTATGTTCAAATATATGACTTTTCTGTATAGTATTCCTGAAAAAGGGGCACTTCCTCCAACCTTCACTAAAAGCCACATCTAATATTTGAATTACTGTGATAGCCTTCTACATTTTCCCTTGCTGTATTTGTCCCCAGCCCTTTCCCCTCAATACAGCTCAGGTGAACTTTTCAGTCTGTTACCTATTGACCCTCTGTTCCATGGCTTCCTACTGCTCTTAGGATGAAGACCAAAATCTTTAACATGTTCTCTAAGATCCTAATGATCTAACTCCAACCAGTCCCAGTTTTATCTCAGATTACTCTACCCTACAACATCACCTTCCTGAACACTCTGCCTCTATTACTACCACCACCACTACTGCCTAATAGGTAGTCATTCTGATCTTGTCTTTCAGGCCTTTGAACATGCTATGCTCCATCTCCCACAAGGCCTGTGCACATCCTAGTTTCTTTACCTAGAAATCTTTACCTATCCTCAAGTGTCCAATGACTGTTTATTAACACCTAGTCTTTGTAAGGCACTGTGCTAGGTGCACAAAGGTAAATAAGTCATGGCCCTTTGGTCAAGGAGCTCTAAGTATAGAGAAAACAGAAGACACATAAATTAATTATACAGGAGAAGTGCAAAAACAGGAACAGGAAAATTTTTTAGGAGAGCATGGGAGATTGGTAACACCAACGATGGCTGTGAAAAAAGGGTGAGAATGTTAATTTTTTAAACTATGAGTGAAAGCATGTTACTGTACATAGGAAAGTTCCTCTGCTTATCTTTCCTGGTGGAAACACTCACTACAAATACCCGCTCCTGTGTGATACCTTCCCTGATACGCCCAGGTAGAGTCAGCATCACCTTCCTTAGTTTTCCATTAAATTTTCTGCAGCAAGTCATTTGTTTATAACCCATCTCCCATGCTAGTTGGAGAATCTATCAAGGGCAGAGACCACATCTTATTTGTTTCCGGAAGACTGTGTGGTAGAGTGAAAGATCATAAGCGTTGGTGTCAGAACTGGGTTCAACCTCCAGTAACCAGATTATCTGTAAACCCAAAAATATCCCAAACTGGAGTAGAATATTTTTCTGCAGTGAGCAGGTATATACAAACCTACTCACAAAGACCAAGGGAGCTGAAGGCCAAAAGCAGAAGCTGACAAATCTACTTTCCCAGAAAGAAATATTTAATAGGGGCTTACAAACAGTAGTGCTATCTTGGGCAGCAGTGAGACAGTGGATCCCTGCACCCACTCTGCAGAAAGTGTCCTTTACATAGCAAGCTTTTAGGTAAAGTCACGTGCAGCTGGTCACATCTCAGACTTTCTTGCCAAAAGTCATGACCACTGGGAACATTAGATAAGCATCTTTCTGAGGGATTATCTATGTTACAGGCATTGTTTAAAGACCTTGCTGCAGAACAGCGGTCAACCTTTATGGCACCAGGGAAGACAATTTTTCCATGGACTGGGGAGGGACAGTTTCAGGACGATTCAAGCGCATTACATTTATTGTGCACTTTATTTCTATTATTATTACATTGTAATATATAATGAAATCATTATACAACTCACCATAATGTAGAATCAGTAGGAGCCCTGAGCTTGTTTTCCTGCAACTAGACAGTCCCATCTAGGGGTGATGGGAGACAGTGACAGATCATCAGGCATTAGATTCTCACAGGGAGTGTGCAACCTACATCCCTCGCATGCGCAGTTCACAATAGGGTTCATGCTCCTATGAGAATCTAATGCCACCACTGATCTGACAGGAGGTGGAGCTCAGGTGGTAATGTGAGTGATGGGGAGCAGCTGTAAATACAGATGAAGCTTTGCTCTGTTGCCTGCCACTCATCTCCTGCTGTGCAGTCCAGTTCCTAACAGGCCATGGACTGGTAGACAGGGTTGGAGATCCCTGCTGCAGAACACCTTGGTATGGAGGAGTCAAACATAGGTCATCATGGCAGGTTTGCTTTAAGATGGCATCACTCTTGCCATGCAATGGGCTGTTTTCCTACAGATATCACTATGATGCTAAAACCCATTGCTACAGTGCTTTCAAGAAGGGCTAAATGACACATTGAGATAGCATACTTGACCCAACTAGTATAAAATTAAAAGAACCCAGATAATAACTTTAAAGTATCTTCAAGTTCCAAAGTGCAGGGTTGGAATCACTCTAGTGTTTTGGAACATGGAAAAACATAATAAAATTGCTCTGTGTTACAGAGCAATTTTTTCTTCTCTGACCAAACATCTCAAATGCGTCCCTTTGCAAAGCTAGTCATTATTCAAGTTTCCATAAGACAATATACAAAACCTTATCCCAGAGGTAAGCAACTTCCAAGTGTTCCTAACCAGAAAAGTTATTTTTCAATCGCCCTAAAACTTTTACATAGGAATTGGTGTGTGCGTGTGTGTTGTTGAGGGGAAAGATATGAAGAAAATAGGGATAAAGCTAAAATAACCAATTTGGATTTCTACTCTCTTCCATGAGTTATTTCATAATCTGCATTAATCTTACAATTACCAAATAATCAAGATGATGTTTTTAAAAATTCCAACTCTCTAATTCTGCCGCTATTTACAAATTACCAAATTCCAACTGACTGTGTTTGACCAAAATCAATGCTTGTGGATTAGAGTATCTAGGTGTATCCACTCTAATTGAGTGTGTGTGGGCTCATGACCTTTGTGTGCCTTCCCACTCATCATCATTAGCATATTATTGTAAACACTGTACTATTTAACAGCTAGCTACATCATGCATGAAAACAACATTTTTAGGCTAACCTCAACTTGCAACCACCATTTTAAACTTTCAGTTGTTTGCAAGTAGCTTTGGCAGCCTTCTTAGCTACTTTTCAGTTAAATGGTACTGTGCTATTGTCTAGACTAATGGTTTTCCAACTTTATTAGAATCAATTGCAAAATTTGTGAAAAATGCTGCTCCTGAGCCCCCACACACAGATATTTGGAGTTTGTATGCCTGGAGCGAAGCCTGATCTTGTCTCTCAGTTCTTTGAACATGCTATACTCCATCTCCTACAAGGACTGTGCACATTCTAGTTTCTAGAGTACAATGAGTATTTATTAATGCCTAGTGTTTATGAGGCACTGTGCTAGGTGCACAAAAATAAATAAGTCATGGCCTTTAGTCAAGGATCACTAGGTAGAGAGGAAAAAGAAGACACATAAGCTAATTGTCATATAGTATAAATGCAAGACCAGGAACAGGAAAATTTTTAGGAGAGCATGGGAAATGTTCACCCTGGGTAATTTTGACACAAACAGATTGTGGAAGCAATGGTTCTGATTCTCCAGAAAGTGTTTTCTTCACTCTTTTGGAGCAAATATAAATGTCTGGCTGTGGTCTCCTTTTATAACCTATTTGGACCTCTTAGATAATAAGTCATTCAACCCATATCTGAAGATATATTCTTAGTTTTTGCTTATGTACTTGATCAAAGACGTCTTTATCAGATGCTATTTGCTTTATTGGCACATTTGAGATGCTAAAATGTTTTGACTCTCTACTACATTTTCCAAAGTGTGTCTACTTTGAGATGCTTGAGATTTCATAAAGTTAAACAGTTTCTTTACTGCCAGAATTCTCTGACCTTTACTGTATACACAATGAAAATCTAAACTAGTGATGGGTATAGTTTCCATCATTTCCAAAACTTACTGACTTATTGGATCAGTGAGAGACTTTTTTTTTTTTTTTTTTTTTTTTGAGATGGAGTTTCACTCTTGTTGCCCAGGCTGGAGTGTAATGGTGTGATCTCGGCTCACCGCAGCCTCTGCCCTCCAGGTTCAAGCGATTCTCCTGCCTCAGCCTCCCAAGTAGCTGGGATTACAGGCATGTGCCACCACGCCCGGCTAGTTTTGTATTTTTAGTAGAGATGGGATTTCTCCATGTTGGTCAGGCTGGTCTCAAACTCCCGACCTCAAGTGATTCGCCTGCCTCAGCCTCCCAAAGTGCTGGGATTACAGGCATGAACCACTGCGCTTGGCCAAGAACCTTTTTTTTTTTTCCATAACACCTTGAATATTTGGGAAATGTCTCTACAACCCAAGCACCCAGGACTTATTTTTCCTTTTCAGGCTGCATATTCTACAATAAACGCAGTACTTACCAGAGCAGTTGGGGAATATTTAAAAATCTCTCTGGGGGTTAAGTCACTTTCCCCTTGGCATCTGAAATGAAAGAAATGAAAACAGATTTCCCATTATGCAGCACCATGCCGTGTTCACATCTAAAGTATCTGCTTCGTTCTCCTACTCGTATCCTCCAGGCTCAGAGGTATCTCCCATTTATCACTTCTTTGACAACATTATGTGGGCTAGGAGAAAAACAAAGTTCATTCATAGGGCTATTCTGAGCTCAGAATCCATCTAGTCAACCTACTAATTTTATAGACAGGGAAATTGAAGCCTAGGGAGTTTCAGAGTCCGCCAAAAAATGTTACTTATCTAGTTGATGTGATTGCGAGATTAGTCATAAAGCAAGGGATGGACCTTGTGTGATCGTAGGACCAAAGTGGTACAGAAGCAAGCATCATATTGGCTAAGGAGCATGTATTACAGCTCAGTTAATGAATTTTGTCTTTCTAGTTACAAGTGAGCTTCAGTGGTACCTTCTGAGAGGCTCCTGACTGGACATCAGTATTCTGAAATGTCTTCAGACATCCATTTACATAGTCTTCCTTTATTTTTTGAGACAAAGTCTCACTCTGTTGCCCAAGCTAGAGTACAGTGGTGCGATCTCAGCTCACTGCAACCTCCACCTCCCAGGTTCAAGCGATTCTCCTGCCTCAGTCTCCCATGTAGCTGGGATTACAGCCACGTGCCACCATGCATGGCTAATTTTTATATTTTTAGTAGAGACGGGGTTTCACTATGTTAGCCAGGCTGGTCTCGAACTCCTGACCTCAAGTGGTCTGCCCACCTCACCCTCCCAAAGTGCTAGGATTACAGACGTGAGCCACTGTGCCCGGC